CTTTGTCAGTAACGCTTTTGTCATTGCCACTACTATTTTCAAAATGTATCTTGATGATCTCTCATATCAAACATTTCAGTACCATTCTTCATTCTTTAGTGTAACCCTCATTCAAAATCGAATTATTTATTTTTTTGTCTGTCTCGTTGTCTCGTTGTCTGTTTGATTTTTTGTTATTTTTATTTTTATTTTTATTTTATTCTTTTATTTTTAATTTTATTTTTTAATACTCGCTAATACTTCAACAGTAACAGCAACAGCAGCTCCAGTTTAAATGGAATTCTCTTCTTTTAAACTATAGCCGCGATTTATTGTAATGACGGGCATTCTTACTACCTGCCAACTGCAAAATACACTGCTGCCAACTTGACATCAACTAAAGTGCGATGAGGATGGATCGCTGCTTTGATTCGATATTTAAGTTAAGTTCCTGTGGCGAAATTAATGCATCAAAGCGCAGCAATACAAAAAATCCATCTTCCTTTTCAACTGCCTTCACTCTTACTTCACTCCTCTCGTATTAACTTAATAACTTTTTGCGCAGATGCGTGTTTTATACAATAATTGCAATAAATATAAAAGAAATATAATTTATCATTAACCCGTCTACATATATCCATTGGATATCATCACGCTGATTTGATGATTTTTCGATTATGTGCACATATCCGAACCTAATGGAATTCTTTATATGTGTATCTAATATAAAAAATTTTATTATATTTATTATCTTTTTCAATAAATATTTTATTATTAATATTTAAAATAAATATTTAACATAAATAAAATGAAATAAATTAAAGAAAGTAGATTTCAGATCACTGGTATTATTGTGCAGAAATCGAACGTACAAATAGAATATGTGAAGTAAATATTTTTAATTTTTTTCTATTCTACTTATTCAATAAAATAATTAAATATTATTAGTAAACAATATATATATTTGTTAGATAAAACTGTTAAAGGTGGTCTTAAAAATGATAGACACACGAAATGTGTTTTATAGAGCATAACCACAAACTACAACTGCAGTCTTGAAACCATTCGGTACAGGTAAAAATATTCATTCTGTGAAAATAAGTACGAAAGCTTCGAATTACTTTGATTACCGTATAGTAATAAAATCTATTTGAAATTTAAGAATTATATGCTCCACTGAGGGTAAAAGACAAGAGAAGGGGAAAAAGATTTGCTTATCTCTCAAATGAAGAGAGATAAATGCTATCCGAAATGTATTGCCACAGTTAGTATCAGCCTGTTGTCACATATCAATATAACATATATATAGAATTCAGTGCGATTTCAAATATATAGTATGAGTTTTTTATAGATAATAACACTCATTTGAAAACATCTAAACATAATGTCCCCAGTTGAATTTTCATCTAGTCTTGGATAGGTTCAGTTCGTTAAAATATTTTATGAACTCAATTTTCAAATGATTGCAAATTCTTGAATTAAAAATTAAACAAATATAATACATATTTAAAGTAACTAAGTCAAAATTTGACTTACCACTAAATGAAAATCCACGGTAAATTAAATTAATTGTCACATTCACATGATAAAGTATAAGCCAAATGTCTAACAAAGCTTGTAGGTGAATAAAACATACCCATATATACACACATAACCTACTCGTATAAATGTGATTTACATCAACAGACTCTCTAACAGACATATATCTAAAATGTTATCCGGATTACCGAATCAGTAGTCGATTCGGACTACAAGGCACATAATACATATTTTGCATTTTTTTAATTTTATCTGGATAACGAGGTCTTCAGGTTTACTGCAGTTGCAGACTAGCGGAGATGAACTGTATTGTAATGCCTTATTTTTTACATTATTGCGGAACTCTTACAAACTTACATATACCGATTACGGAATAATCCTAACAAACTTATAAAGTTTCTGATTGGGAAATCTAGATTTACTTCCAATATGTTATTGTTTGCGTTAATTTCAATCGTTAATATCGTCTATTCATATTTCGAATAATCTTGATGTTTCACATCCCGGTTGGGCATTGAAATTATATTGTATTTCACACCTATTTTAAGTGATCCAAACAATATACAGAAATAAAACTATAATCGAAATCTTGATCAAAAGTGTATTTTATTTACGTTTACTTTTGGAACCACAAATGGATCACAAATTTCGAATACTTTTTAGACACGAAATAATTTATTGAAGATAATGTTTTATTAATTTTACTGAAAGGTACAAGGTACATTATGTAACCACCGACGTCTCTACATATAGGTGACCCGTTATGGAAAGATTTTTGTGGGTCTTTTCTTTTGATATGAATAACCCTGTATTACAAATACTCTTTGGTCAAGAAATCATTTATTATAAAAATTTTATTAATCTTACTGAAAGGTCCAACATATTTTATATAACTACTGGCGTACTCGATATCTATATAGATGATCCGTAACGAAAATATTTCTGTGTGCCTTTTCCTTTGATAGGAATAAATTGTGGCAATGGCAAAAATCTTGGTTCTTTATTATAATGCAGTGTGAGCCACTGTTTAAGTATTTTATATTTGAAACTTGATATAAATTGGTTACATATTATATTAATAGATTCTACATAGACTGCCTATGGATTTGCTATATTTCTGCTCTGCTCTTTTTATTAAATTTTTCTGTCTTGAATTATTTTGTAGTATTTGAGAAAGAGTTTAAACTCTTAGAAGGTAAATAACCAAATGCAACAACAAAAATTTTTTATCATTTTTAAAATAATTTTATTATATTATTAATTATTTTAATAATTATTTTATTAAGTATATAAATAATTATTTTAATAATTATATATATTATTTTTTAATTATTTAAAAAAATTAATTTTTTTTTATTATTTATAATTAATAATTATTTTTTATTAATTAAAAATAAAAATATTTATGTTGTTGCAATTCACTACTGTTAGAAAAGATACTTTATGATTCTGTCAGATAAGATAAGATAAGAATCAACGGGGTACTAGCTCCCACTTGATCAGAGCACTGCGACCATGATTCATCTTTTGTGCTACAACAGACCCTAACCGAACAGCAGACTTTCTGCCTTCCTTCCGAAAACAGAAAATAAATTTGTTATCATTTTCAGTTAAATATATTTGTTGTTGTTTTGTAATTTAATGATTTTGGTGAAGTAGGTAGTATATAATAATAATTTATTATATTAAAAACAATAAAAATAATAAAAAATAAAAAAAATAAACTTAATCAATTAATAGGAGCTATTTGTGGAATTAAAAAATATTAATTGATTAATAATTTTAGTTTGACATACTAATGTTATTTATGTGTGCCGTTGAGGACCTCCTAATATCGGAAAGTGAGAGTAGTTCCCGATCCAGTGACATCCTACTGGCCCAGATCAAGGCTGGACAGTCACATATATGATTCTGTATGGTCAGCCAAAAATTCAATTAATTAAAATAATATAAAATAAATTTTTGTTGTTGTAGTTCACTACTGTTCGAAAAACCTCTTTATTAAGTTTGTTATTTAAATTTAATTATATTTTAAATTCAATTTAAAATTCAATAAATTGTATTTTTGGTTGGCTATAGAAATCTTAGTCTGTTATTATTGGTAATATTTTTTTTTTGTTTTTTGCAATCAGTTCTTGATGATCAATCATTAAATATTTTCACTTCTCCTTTTCGTATTTGAATTTATCTCACTAATGGCATTATTGCGTCCTTGATTCAAGCTGCACCCATTGATGTGTTCATCACTCCTCAACTACGCCCATTTTGCAAAAATTCTGAAGACAGCTCTCCAAATTTCTTACTTCCCGAAATACCATATATACTCTGATGTACTGAAGCTTTTTTATAAATAAATAAAACCAAAAACCTCTTCTGCAATGTTTAGTTTTTTTTCCTGCATGTCAGCATATGTTCATACATAATACATAAATATTTACAAAACAATGCAACAAGTAGGAATTCAGGTTGAGGTTCAGGTTCAATGAGCAATAATAATCAAAACTGAATCGAGCTAATAAAAAAGGAGAAACAACAATAAATTCATGCTGCGAACATAGTCGAATGTAGTTTTTTCTTGTTTGAAAAATACTAACAAAAATTTATTGGTTGCCTTGTAAATAAATTCACGTTTGTAGAATTTGCACAACAAGACTACATGGATCGTAAACATGTGCAGTCTACAGTTGTACAAATACAGTGGAATGCACTAAGCATCCCAGCATATCCTTTGATTCTCCATACACGAAATCAACTACTTAAAGACATCAACAATCTGCTCCACTGTATCTACCTATCGAGTCATTTAACTTACATTATGTGACCAGTGCATTTTTTTTAGTATGATTTCCAATGTTCCATTCCTTGTAGCCTTCATTACTGCAAGAAATTATTTTTTATCCATCGATTTTGTATAAATTGTCGCTATCTTCTGTTCGTCTGTTCTGTTCTGCTCAGTTTATAGGAGTGTTCAGCTCTTCGACGTTTTTAATTCAGAGTTATTTGATTGCGCGGAGATGAGTATCCTTTTCGAATCTTTCCGCAACGCATTGTATATTGTGCAAATCGATGTTAATATTGCTGCATTAATGCCATTGATGACATCTCATGGTTTATTTGAAATGTTTTAGCGCTCTTTAGCGCTCTGAGGCCCATGATAAATTCCAATTGCGCAAGTTTATAAAGTAAAAACTACGAATTGTGCACTCCCTGCAGAAATTATTTCACGTCTGCAACTTGGAAGATATTGAGACATAGCCAAGCTGTGAGGATGTAGTCTACGCTATTTGCTAACTGATTTATGCGTTACCTTTCCTTAATGGTTAAGTTATTTATAAGTTCTACAAAACAAGTATTTTAAGATTAAAACAGCAGATGTTTGTTTGAGTGCACATGATGCGCCATTGATCACTGCTTTAATTATCCTTGTCTGATACATAATTAATTATTGATAAAAAATGTTTAATTTTTTTCATTACAGGCATTGCAAATTTACATTTTTTTCTTTTACGATTCACTAGTACAATTGAAATTCATTTCCTCGATTCGTGATTGATTGAAACCGCCATAATAATGACGAGACTGTCATCATCATCAATGACATCAAGATCACATCTCATCAATTTAACCTGCTCATACATTTGCTGCACTACGTTTCGTTTGTTCAGCATATGCCTCTTAGCACTTTTATTACCTCTGTTGGATAATAGTTGCTCAGCGACACAGCCCACATCTCTGGGTGTACATATAGTGCGCTCACCTGAATCTGCAGTGGCTCCCAAGGGCGATGAAGTTGTTTTTGAGTGTGAATTAAATTTGAATCCAGAACGTTTGGAATGGCGCTTTCGTCACACAAGTTCACGTGCCGCTGATGCCAATAATTTTCGCTATTTAAGGAGAGAGGTAAGAAGGAAATTGTATTTTAATAACTTTATAATTAAAGTCGAAAAAAATTATATATTATATATATGAAGATAATATATTCGCAATAGATATATTTATTAATTTTTATAAGAATAGAACTATATTATTCATAAAAACATATTCGCAATAGATATATTATTAATTTATATACGAACATATTTTATTTATTTGCTTGATTTAAAATGAAAAGTAGATATAATAAACCACGGAGCGGATTCTTGTAGAATTCACTTAATATTTTCGCGTCGTTACTTATGGACCCAAAAAAAATGATCCAAAAACTGAGCTAATTTCATTGCGAGATAGATTCATAAAATAACCAAAAATGTTATCTCCTATTTATAATTGAACATTTGAAGCAATAGAATATCAAACATGACACCACATATTATACATACATCTGTTATCTACAAGTATTACTAAATTTAGACCAGTTCTCTGCAATGTATCCCCAAATTAATAATCTAATCTATAGTACTAATAAACATCTTAAGCCGAGTGATTTTAAGCATGGTTTACAAGATATTTATGATATCAATGCCACAAAATCGGTCTTAACTATCTCATTCGCTTTTTTATTATCAAATAACTCTTTTTCGATCATAAAATTCAAATATATTGTAATATACCTTTACATCATTCATGATAAGCCTATGTATTACAATCCTAGATTTAAACTCCATTAAACAATTAATACATTCAACCGACCATTTAAATCGTCTAAAATACCTATAGTATAGTTTTCTTAACATAACCACACTATAAAACTTTAATTTAGGATAATGATTTTAACCAATAACTGTATCCTGAATAGATATGCGACATAATCTCATTCGCTTTGATACTAATATCGGATGAAGTCCTTACTAAACTTATTGTTGTAGCCTGTTTACCATCAAATGGGTTAAAATAATTCTTACTGCAGTTAAAGCACTTCTTGCATCCTTCGGGATATCAAACGGAGACCTGTTGAAAATCTATATAACTGTGGTCTCGAAGAAAACACAACCTCGGTATAGATAGTGGATAATCCTTCATGATATGATATGAAGTGATCAATACGTGGAATACAAATAGAGGGCTCTGGTGACTATGCGCCGTCTGAGTTAACATTAGCTGATAGTACGTTTTCACTGAAATCATTTTAAGTTTTGCATAAAGACGATAAACACATGACATCTGATAACAACTGAATAAAATGTATAGTACCGTGTTTTGACAATATTTGAATCCATACTGATGCAGTATTAAATATAGGTAGCAAGCCTGTTGCTCCGTATATGTCCAATAAATTTTCCTTTATTTTTATATGTAACTTTGGCAGCGATTTTAGCACATTGTTAAAATTTTTCAACAGATTGCTTAAAAACAGGGCCATCGTACTGTTCATTAACTTGGAATATATTTGATCCGAAAAAATGCTTAATGTTATTAAGTTAGACACACATCGTAATAGGTCTTTAGGTCGCAAAACAAAATGGCCCCACTTAGTAATCACCATGGACTAAATTCTAGTTATTATCGATGAAATTAATATGATACGAAATTCTAAATTGACTAAAAAGCTTTCGTCAACCTATGTGGGTGCATCATTTTATTATTATTAAATAATAGGCTAGGAATTCACTCCGACCTAAAAGATCAATTGTGGCCTTAAAGTTCAAATTAAACTGTTCTAGACTATTTATAAATCTCGTAATTATTGTGGGCTTAATTTTACCTTTTTGATTTGAGTCCAAAATCCCGTTTTCAAGGAAGTCAAGTCTATGTCTTGGGCAATTATATAGAACATGTTCTGATGTTCCCTTCTCCTCTAGAATCGACAGGAATCACTTTCTACCGCACTAATATGCCTGATGTGGTATTCCTCATGACTTTGTAGTGCTCTATAAGAAGTTCAGTATAGAGTTTAAAATCGCCTCTGCTAAGATGTAGCATTTTAACTATAAATTACTAATCCAGTGGGTTTCTTATCCAGTGAGTTTAATATAAAAATTGAACACTGAAACTTAAGAAACAAATTTAATCACTAAAAAAATATAATAAATATATATTCTTTAACACAATTTTATTATTTTCTAGGATGGTTTTAATATAACAAACGATGATCGTACGTTTAAATTGCGAATTTTCGTAGCACCTGAAAATCTTGGAGATTATCAATGCGTTGCATGGTTTGGTTCTGCAGCGATAGCATCAACATCAGCACGGCTTACATTAGTTTCCATTAGTATAGACAACTCCAATGGTTTTAGTCGGAATGCAATACGTTGGAGTATTCCAACCAAAAATTGTGTTCTTATACGTTGTGGTTCAGTTACCTCAAATCCACCAGCTGTTTGGAGTTTTTATCGCAATGGAGAAAAGTTTCCTCAAACTGAAATATTGCCATCATCAAATGGTGCACTTATATTAAATTCGGTTACTACTAAAGATTCAGGAAATTACACATGCTCAGCCATGAATGCTATAACTGGAACTGAATTAACATTGCCACAACGTATTGATTTACGTGTAGACTATATGGATCGTATGCCACCATATTTTCCAAGACAGCCACCGAAAAACGTAACAGCGCGTCCTGGTGAGACTATAGTACTTGAATGTCCTGGTGTTGGTTCACCAAAACCTGAAGCTGTTTGGAGTAGTCCAAACGTTGTTAATTATAATAACAATCGTACTAAAATGTTGCCTTATGGTCTGCAAATAACTGATGTTAAACCTGAGGATCAAGGTACATATATTTGCCGTTTAGATAATGGTATTGCTCCAGCTTTGGTGCACACAACGAAATTAGTTGTATTGGAACGGCCAAAAATTTTACGTGGTCCAGCAACTACATTGACAAATGAAAACTCACGTTTGGAATTGGAATGTTCAGTCACCGGAAATCCACATCCCGATATTTATTGGTTAATAAATGGTGAGGATACATCGTTGGATAATGAAACTTTTCACGAAGGTCGTCGTTTGGTTATTAAAAATGTTGAAAAACGACATGCAGGCATTGTGCAGTGTTTTGCTAAAAATGAAGTGGGTGAGGTGAGTGAAGAAATTTAGAAACTTTTTATGGTAGATTAAATTATTTTAGTATTTGATTTGAACTTCAAATAAATGTTCATTATTAATTTATAATAAATATTTTATTTACAGACTAGCGAAGCTAATTTGTTGCAAGTCAATCCGAAACAAATCGGAGAAACGGGTTCTGCACCTTTAGGAAATGTCCCAGTGCGTCAATCGCATGAACATTCAGGAAATAAAAATAAAGGCAGGCGAAAGCATAAAGTTTGTAAGTTTTCTTTATATATATAATATATATTTTATATAAAAACATTTTTCATACATATACAATTTTTTTTTAAACTGGATTCTATAACTGGTAACTTTAATTCTAATTTAAAAATATTTTCAATTTAAACTCTTATTTTACCAAAGTAATTTAAAATAATTTTATTTTATTTTTATATAAAATATAAATATATTAATACCATACATAATGCACATATATATGTACATATGTGTATGTTTATATATTCATATACTCATATTCATATGTATATAAATATACATATATATGTATTATATATAATATAATATATATATAAATATAATATATATATTATATATATATATATATAAATATATATATATATAATATAATATATATATAAATATAATATATATATAAATATAATATATATATATATTATAATATATATATAAATATAATATATATATAAATACAATATATATATAAACATTATATATACATTTATATATATACATATATTTATATATATGTATATACATTTATATAAGTATATATACTTCTATATATATAGTATATACTTCTATATATATAATATATACTTTTACATATAGATATATTTATAAGTATTTATATATATTTATAAATATTTATATATATATATAAATATATATGTTCCTATATAGATAAATACTATATTTGTTTTTCATTCTACCTTCTATAAATTATAGTCATATATTTTAAAAATAAATTTACATTATTATTTTATTTATATTCTAACACTTATGTATATACGTATTAACTTCGTTTCTTCATATTAAATTTTAAACTTTCCAACATTAGTTTTAATTAATATTTTATTCTTTTTTCTTAAATTTAAACAATTTTAGTCAAATTCTAAAAACAAAAAGCCTAAATTCTTATGCACTCATATTTCATTTCTACATTCGTAAGGACGAAATATTATAAGTTCAATATAGAAAGCATAAATTATTATTTTATAAGATTATATGTGATTATATATATATGTAGACATATTTATATAGATATATAAATATATGTATGTATATATTATTTTATATCTACATATAACATATTAATTTATCTTAATATGGTTTCTATTGTATTGTTTGTTATCATCATCTTGTCAAGGCGGGCAATTCAACTGTCCAGTACCTCTCTCTTGGACATCTTCTTAGATTCTAATAGAGGCCATATTTACATCTTTTGTAAAATGAAAATGTTTACTATTTAAAATTAGTTTTCAATCATTCCAGTCATTTTGTTTTGGAACTTTTTATTGGAAGTATATTTGTGATTCAAAAAGATCATTATTATTTTTAAAAATATTTTCTTATATCAAATTTTTTCATATATATAAAATGACGACGAATAATGTATAAAACTAATAAAATCTAGAATAATTGTTATTTATAAACTGCGTTGCTTAAATGAAATAATAAAACTAAACTGTTGTTTTACGACTATCCTGGTTTGCAATAGAATCCATTTTGCTCCTAAGATTGCACAGGATTTATATTTTTTCGCATGACCTTTTCTTCCTCTTGCAAAATACGTATCTTCAGTTTCAATTCCTCGACTTGTAGATGATGTACTTCTCGCAGATGTTTAAGTTCCTCTTGAGCTCGGCTCAAATCAATTTTCTTTCTTTCAAGCGCCACTTGCTCTTCCTTAAAGCGTAATTCGGCCTCTTTCAGTTTGAAATAATTAATTTTTTCTTCGAAGGAGTCAACAGTGACCGCTGTAGTAGCCGCGGATGCAATGCTTGCGGTTGTTGGTGCAGCAACGGTTGCTGTTGCAGCAGTAGCTGGTACTGCATTGAATGTCGTGCATGTGAAGGTGGGTGTGCCATTAGTAAATTGTGCAGCTGGAGATTGTAATTGAATTTTTACTTGTTGTGGCTGTTGTTGTTGCTGCTGTTGGTGTGCTACAGCAATTTGCTGATGTTGCAAGTGTTGTTGCTGCTGTTGCATTTGTTGTTGCTGCTGTTGTTGCAACTGTTGCTGTTGCTGTGCTTGATATTGTGCCAATGTGATCTGTTGTGGTTTGATTTCACTGATTATTTGCTGATTGTAGCCACTTGCAGTTATAGTTGCCATTGCATGTTGCTGCTGATGTGTTGGTATGGTGATACGTGTGGGTGAAGGTATAGTTATTTGTGAACCTAATTAAATTGTAAAAAATAATATAATGTTAGAATATATTTTTTACTGTAAAACAAAAAAAAAATAGTACATACTTGTGGCATCTGCTTGTTTGATTTGCAATATAATTTCATCGCGTGGGCGTGCGGTCTTGAACTGCAACAGATCATTCAACGTTAGTTTGTCGGCACTTATTTGATCGACACTAATTTGTTGTGTTTGTATGGTGTTTGTTTGTTGATGTTGTACATGTTGTTGCAACTGTTGTTGTTGATGATGGTGTGTTTGTTGTTCTTGATGTGGATCATTTGAATCCTCATCTAATTGGGTGACACTAGCATCCATTTCAATTTCCTCGAAAGTTTCATTTTCCGTTCCCTGTTCGGCAGTGTCGTTATTATTCAAATATTCGGGCTCATCTTTTATGACGTGAGTAACAAGCTGGGATTGATTGCCATTAAGTGAGTTTGCTACATTACTACACTTTATACGAAATGGATACTGTTTGCGAAGTCTGAAATGTATAAAAAAAAACAGTTTTGTATGTAGTATTAGCCGAAAAAGCTGGTATATAGAATAGCACTAACATATGTACCAGATAACACAGAGAGGTTCTCTACAGAAATTTTTTCTCATATTTTCATATATTAAATTCTATATACTTTTTGTGCACTCAACTAACATTTCTTTCATTTTCCTTACGCTATTTTTAGTTTTATCAATGTATATATATGAACAAAATTAAGCACTGACTGTATGTAAGACTGAAATTTGAAGGTTGCTAGACTTGGTAATTGATATAGATTTAGTAACGTAACTGATATACAGAGTAAAATTTTTAATGGATGACTTTGTTCTCTTAGTGAATGATGGTGAAGAACTTTTCTTCTATTTAGTAAAAAACATATTTGTATATATATTTGAAAATAATTTGTAAAAGTATAAGTTAAACAAAAACTTTTTTTATTGTATATTATTTATTGTGTATATTATTTTTTTATTTTTATTGTTTTTTTTTCGTGTTATTGTGTTTTGTTTTTATGGTTATATTTTTTTAATTTGGCACTATTATTTTTTTCTGTTTTTATATTATTTATTTTTTCTGTTTTATTTTGTTTTTTATGTTATATTTTTTTATATATTTTTTTATTTTTATATTATTGTTTTTTTTATTGTTATATTAGTTATTTTATTTTTATTTTTATATTATTTATTTTATTTTTATATTATTTATATTTTTGTTTTTATATTATTTATTATATTTTTGTTTTTATATTATTTATTTTATTTTTGTATATTTTTTTTTATTTTATGTATTTTTTTTTGTTTTTATATATATTTTTTTATTTATATATATTATTTTTATTTTTATTGTGTTACAGTTTTCAGTATTTTTAACTAATACTTATTTATATTTATTACTTTAATATATATATATTATATATAATATATAATCATTTGTTGTGTTTTATTTTCCCCAAAATATTTTTGTGTTAATTGGATTATGCTATAGAATCCCAAAAATAGTTTATCCGCTTATTGGATTCATTCAAATCCAGCATTATTTAGGTTTAAAAATCTGTGCTTCAAACTTGTTAAATTTATTCTTAATTCACAAAAAAAATATTTTATATTAAGTATATAAGAAATAAAATTGTTAACCCCACTTTTAAAAAGCATATATAATCTTTAAGTGTTCGCTCGATATCGCCCACTAAAATAATATTTAAATTCAAATATATGTTATTTAAGTGTTAGTAAAATTATATAAATTTCTTTATTTATTTTATTTTATTTTTAATTTATTTTATTTTATTTTTAATTTATTTAATTTTATTTTTAATTTATTTTATTTTATTTTTAATTTATTTTATTTTATTTTTAAATAAAATAAAATGTTAATTTTTTTATTGATGAAACTATAATATATAATAAAAAAAGAAAAATATTTTAAAGTAACAGAAAACCCGCTTTCGTCATGTCTATTCTTAATTTAAACCGTGCCCCTTGCAAATTTGAAATTAAAATTATTTATTGCTCTTTCATAAACTCTGCTGTAGTATTTACTTTTTTTTAAATTTATTTTGAAACCATTATTTGTAATTATTTCGTTGATTTCATTTGATTTAATAAATAAAACATTAACCAACCTAGAGATTTTTATAATCTCAAGGCATCAAATCAACAGTGCCAAAAATGTTATGCCTGGCCTATGCCTGATACACTGTAGTAATTCACAAAATTAACATTTGAATTATTCATATTATTCGAGACTGGCAGTGCTTTCCACATCGCATAGAACGAAGCAAACTCAAAGAGAGTGAAATAATCTCAATAGTAACCTTATTGGTGTTGTTTTTGTTGTTGTTCTTGCTGTTGCGCCACTACTCGAGTGATGAACTCGTTTTCTGTCAGAGTAAAGTCAACTCACACACAAGTTAAAAACAACAGAAATAATCACGTTAAGGGAAAGAAGAAAAAACATTATATTTTGGACGGACAGCTGCCGTAAAGCAACAACAAAATTTCTCAGAACCCGAAAGGAATTCATAAAGATAACATAACCATAAGCGAAGATAAAAGTTTAAGGTTTTCACTGTTGCTGTTTTTTTTTTCTTCAAAATTTCATATAAAAAATAATATATTTTTTGTGTTTTTTATTTTAAATTGCGATGTGCGTGAATTTGTTATAATTTGCCGCCATTTTATTTTGACTCATGACATAAAGTTTATTTATAATTTTATTGAAATGCTAGAACTGCACTTTTTCATTTATTCTGTTACTTGCATTCCTTGCTCAAATGCAGTTTCAAGTGCATCTCAAAATTTTTATGAGTTCATTTGTTTGTTTTGAATGAACTGGGAAATATTAACTCCATTTTTCTAAGCACTAATTAAACACATGAGCACTTCTCCTAAAAATATTGTTTTGAGTTTTATATTAAAGAAAACCACTAAAAGCACTAAAAAAAAACACTTCAATATATTTTCAGTAACAGGTGAAATCCCTTATTTTCTTAACAAAAGTTATTACTCATATTAACAAAAATATAGAAATGTATTTACCTATTAATATTTTAAATTAAAAATATTTTTGTGAAATCAAAAATAATTATTTTAATTTTTATTTCCAAATTGTCTCCAAAAATAAAATCAATTTTGAACTCATTTTTGTGCTTATTAAGCGTTAATTTGTTGATTAATAAAAAAAATATAAAAAAATTTGTGTGTAAACAAATATTTCAACTCAAGACAGGAGCGAACTTTGTACACTGCGGCCTAAGTTGCCGCAAGTAGCGTTTTATTTATCAAACTAATGAAATTAAATTGTAACGAATAATTACAAATTTTAATTAAAACTTTATTCTATATTCAATAAATAAAAAAAATCCATTTTCAACATGTTTTAAATCGATTAATAAAATATAATATATTAATTATTATATATTAATATATTTTATCATTTTATTATTTTAATTGATAAATAAATATAATACAAAAATGTATAAATTGAAAGTTCTCTTGAAATGACTTAAAAAAAGTGCAGCTTTTTTTTTAATTAAGTTTATTACTACTTTATATAATTTTAATTATTCATATAATATTCATTTTCTTAATTATATTATTTAATATTGTTTTCATTTTATTAGCTTTTTTTTATCATATTTATTTTCTATCATTTTTATCTTAAATTATTTTTGTATCATATTTTTTTTATTATTTTATTTTAAAATATTTTTTATCATTTTTATTTTTTTACTATTATTTATCATTATTGCTTCTTTATTATTTTCGTTTTTTGTTTAATTGTTTCACATTTATATTATTTATTTTAATTTCATATTATTTTAATTTTCTTTTAGTTTATATATCATATTATCTTTTTTATTTCTTGTCTTTATTTATTTCTTTTATTGTTTATTTTTATATTATATTATATTATTATTTTTTTTATTTTGTATAGAAAAAAGTTTTTTAGTAAAACTTCCAACTATTAAATATTTATCATTTTAAATAGTTCTACAGTTAATCCACAATTTAAACAAAAAAATGCTATGTAATAGATCTCACGTGGTTTTATTTAGAATCATTACAGTTTCAGTCATTTGAAAACATTTAGAATCTATTTCAGCATCCGCAAATCTACATAGTAAACCAGAGATAGAATACAGCTATAGATATACTATATTAGAGAAACCTCTATATGTTTAGGTTAGCTTCTATATGGCTATCATATAATATCAAAATATAATAGTTTCAGGATTGAAATGTGTAATTAGTGTCTACTTCTTCTTCTTCTTCAGTAAAGAAGAACAACAAAATACATTACAAAACCGGTTTAAAATACGTTTTAGTATATAATTTGTTGTTGTCGAGTGGCCTTTCTTTATAAAGTAGATTATATCATAATTATTTGTTTAGAATAGATAGGCAGTTGGAATAACATGACAAACGTATCGTTATAATGTTAGAGATGTAGTATTATATACATCTTTATTACTGAAGTAAAGGACTTTTAGTATGCTGTAAATATTCATTTTTTTAGAATCGCTAGATAGATCGAATATTCTATTTGCTAAAAGTTAGATATGTGTTGTAATTTTTTTTATATATGTCTAGAACAAAGGTAATAGCATAATCATATGCTTCGTGTCATACTATCTATAACACCAGATTAATATGTAAAAATATATATATTTAACGTTTAATATTCTTCAAATAATTTGAATTCAATTTTCTTTAGTGATTTCTTCTTCTTGTTTTCATATTATATTCTCATTTAAATTGACCTGCATATATTATTTTTTTTTTATAACTATCATTTCTATTAGAATTCTTTACCTGTGTCAATGTTACTACAACAACAAGAGTTCATTATAATTATAATACAACATCATAATTTATTATATTATTATTATAAAAAGAGATTGGTGCTAAGCGATCTATGAGATCTGTTATTGTAGCGCGCAAGAAATAGAGGATCTACAGTTAGGATAGGAAAAGGAATTACAAAGACTCATACATAGCTTACGTTATGAGATTTATTGTTATTTGTATAGTTCCAACTTCTCCATCTAGTTTAAATATTAACTATCATATATATAGGGTTCAATAAATTTGTCATCTAACACTTACGGTAAACTTACTATTATCGCTATTATAAAAGTAATCCATAATTGTTTTAATGAACCGTTTTTTCTCTTAAGGCCCTCCTTCTTAACACAAGTCCGCTACTCTCTCTTGACATTTTTCTACATTACTACAATTTTCACACATAAAAATCTAATTTGATTATAGTTTTTTTTTTTACGCTACATAATCAACTTTCTGAAGTCCCTCTCCTCCCCCCTTTCCTTGCAACCCTTCAAAATAAACTCCTATCTTGTATGTTTACCTTGCATTGAGCCAAAATTTTTGTATCTGCTTGACATTGCGCTGCTGACTGACGCTGGGATGTCCATTGAATTCGTGCACGATTTGATCCCAAGTATCGCGTACCGAATATTTACTCCTCTGCTTCTTCCGAAACTTGATATCAATGATTTCCTCGTGCTGATGGAATAGGCTATAGAGGATCTCCTTCTCTTCGGTCGTGAAGCGCGGCGTTAGCGACATTTGACCACCACCGGCTTTGATGCTGTTGCTGCTAGTGGGGGCGTTCAGTGCAGTAACGTTACCATCGGCGACGACAGTGACACCAACGTCGCCGGCGGGCGCTTGCCGTTGTTTCTTCGCAATTGTGGCGGTTAATGATGGAGCAGTGGAGTGATGTAATATTGTAAAAGTATGTGCCGTTGTGGAAGCGTATAACTTCTGTGGGATTTTAATAGCAGCAAACGCTAATATCAAAAATGGAAATGTGGGAATTCCTTGCAACTTTTTTCTTTGAAGATTTTTTTTTAATTGATTTTTGTTTTTATATTAAATAATTTGTTGTAAACTTTGTAAATACAAATTGTACGGCTGCTTTTATTTTTCTTTCTTGTGTTGCTTGCTTGACTATTTCACTCTGCTCGATAGTCTTTTTTGTACTCGTTTTTTTTTTCTTTTTGCTTCACAAACAAGCAAATTGTATTCAACAATTTTATGTTAAAATTTTTATTATTATATGAAGAAAATTTTGATTTCGGTATTGAAATGCACGTAATTATATAAATTTCAATTGAATATACTGCAAAATAATATTCTTTTAAATATTTTTTGTTACTATTTTTAATAAAAACGCGCGATAAATATCTCGTAATTCCACTCACAACAGGCCACTATGAGAAACTAAACTCGCTTGGAAATAAGTTGAGTATACATTTCTACGAGTCAGCCATTTTATTTTCACTTAAATTTTGAGCAATGTTAATGTGTGAGTGAGTGAAACGTGTTGAAAGAAAAATATGATAAAAGAAAATACAAAAAAAATATCTACACAAAGTTGGTTGTTGGCTTGGGTTGTTAATGCTAAAATTTTTCGTTCGGTGTGTGTATTAGATAAAGTGAAGAAATGCTTTCATTCACAATAGTTCAAAAAAAAATATTTTTAAAGAAAATTTTTTTTTTTAAAGTTAGAATTTAAATTTACGGTAGAAAATGCTTAATGTATTTGCAAAATTTATAAAAATATTTTTAAATTCGAAAATGTTTATCTTATTGATAACAACTCAATTATTTAACATTGTTAATAACATAAGTATACAATAGCTGTAATTTTGTCTTTCAGAGTAGCAAACAAATACACTCACTCAACTTACAAATAAAAACATGTGAAGCAACAAAAATGCTCTTAAAATCTTCAGCTTTAGTTTTTAGTCGCAAAATTTTTTTTGTCTCAAGTTTTAGTGCAGCTACATTTAAAAATCAGTCTATTGTGAATGTTCACTGGATATATGTTGCAAAATTCCAGTCATCCGTTAAAACCAGGGTTCAGAAAAACACTGTGCTGTGCACAAAAATGCAAAACACCACGCACAAATGTTGTGCGATTCTAAAATTTCACACCACAAATGTGGTGTGCGAAAATTTTTGTGCACATCTTAAGTGCACATCTTGTGTGCACAAACGAAACGCACATTTCACACGAGTGTGGTGGAGTGAAATAAAACTCGCACACGCATTCGGTGTTTGTGCCGAAGTTATTTCGCACAGCACATTGTGTGTGCGGCAGCCAACATGCCCTCGCACACAACGTGTGCAGAAAAGAATACGAGAAGCACATTTTGTGTGCAGGCTCGAAAATAAAAATGCACCCAAATGTGCGGAGACGAAATGTCTACTGCACGTTTGTGTGAAATGATGATTTAAAAGCGCACAATATTATGACAAATATCGCAGCAAAATAGTACGGAAAACTGATTTGTATTAATTTTGGTCTTAATGCGAAATATTTTATTGAAGAAATAATTTTGTATTTATATTTTAATTTTGAATTTATTATTAGATTTACATTTATTGCTTATATTACTTATTTTTTTAAGGTTTATTAATTTAAAATATGGGAATAAAGTTAATTTCACAATGTACTTGAAAACTTTGTTATATTCAATAGGTACATGAATTTAATAGAGAAAGAGTATTTGTTTCGAAATGTTATAAGTAAAGATCGGTTCTACGGATCGTACTTTGAAAAAATTAAATATATCAATTTTGGACTACTTCATAAAATTTTATTTAATAGTAAGTTGTACACTAAGATTCGTTAGTAAGGTTATAAAAAGCAAATTAAATATTTTTTACAACAACATAAATTAATTTTGTTATTAGATTTCACTTAATTTTTTATCTTTAATTACAGTTTAAATTTTACAAAGTTATTGAAATAATTTAATAATTTAATATTTTAATTTCTTATTAAAAAATATATAATTTTTATTACATATTTTTTGAAATAAATTTTCATTTAATCTTATTAATAACATTGCTGAAATATTTTTTTCACTTAAATTATATCTCTGCTTACTTAGCACAGTAGAAAGGGCGCTAAAATCCTGCTACCTGTTCAAGAAAATATTTTCTTAATCTTTCGCGTTTTTTAATGAATGTTAGATACTCTACCTAAGTGAATACATATTTCTGGAGAAGAAAAATACCTATTTGTGGCCCTCCCGTATTATCTTTTTTAAACTGTTGCAAAATTTATTAAACAAATACACCAATACCAATACCTGCTACCTGTTCAAAAAAAATATTTTCCTAATCTTTCATATTTTTTGGGCATAAAAAAATCTTCCTAAAATATGTTTTTATTTTTTTTAAACTGGTGCAAAACATTCCAAACAAATACTTTAAGTTCACTTACTATATTTGCATTTAAAAATGCTCAAAGTAATATACAAAAAACTAATATTTTAAGTTAAAATACAAATAAGGTTAAGACAGTTATAATTTTTAGTTTACATTAATTAACAAAAATAATTATTTTAAATATTTGTTAATTTATGCAATTTTTAACATAAATTACGATCCCAACGAACGCAAATATCAATTTTTTAAAAATTTGCAACAAAATAATATTTTCTATTTCAAACAAAATTGTGAAGTTCCTGTAATTTTTTCCACCCTTGGGTGCAAGCGCAAAATCGCACATTTGTGCACGTTTGTGCATCGCACATTTGTGCACATTTGTGCACGTTTGTGCAGTCGCACATTTGTGCACATTTGTGCAAACGTAATATGAGCAGCACACTCGTGTGCAAAGAGAATTTTTTGTCGCACAGTGCGGTGCGAGCATAAAGTTTTCTCGCACATCTGATTGTGCACATTTTTAAAAATCAGTCACACAGCACAAATGTGTGTGCACGAATCTGTGTGCACAATCATCGCTTTGTGCGATGTGAAATTTAAAATCGCACAACAAATTTGAGTGCGTGCATTTTTTTTCTTAACACCACAAATGTGCGTGTGCATATTTTAAAAATAATTTCCACTCGCACAGTGCAGTGTGCGATTTTGTGCACCACATTCCGAACTCTGGTTAAAACCATATAAGCATTTCTAATTACTAATTTCAAATACAAAAACAAATAAATTAATTTAAATGCATACATAAGATAAAAATGCTTTTTATTACCCTTCCACTATTCGTTTTGTTTTTTTTTTATTTAAATTAATTAATTTTTAGTGTTTACAATTTTAATTTATCATATTGTACACAATACAACAAATATCATATACCAAGAAAAACCATTTAATATATTTCAAAAGTGATAAAATGTTCCAACCAGACTGAATACTGTTTTTTTACAACTCTGAAAGAAAAAATTACGGCTAATGTATATAGTGCATTCACAACAAGATTTTAAAATTAATACGTTTTTATATAAATATATTTATATTTTTTATACAAAGGCTTTCATGTTTTGTATTTTGTTATATGGAATTTACATAACATAGCTGTAAATTGATATAGAAACTTACTCTATCGTAAATATAAAATTAGTTATAAATCTTACGGCAATTTTCATTATTAAATCTGGATTCTGGATACGACCAAAAACTTGCTACTCTGACAAAATATCTAGATTGTTATATATTAATCGCGAGTGTTAAATATTAATCTAGAGTGTTATACAGATTTGTCCCCTATGGGTTCGAGGATGTAAGAATAGTTGAATGGTAAGATATGCGTGTCGTAAAAGGTGACTAAAATTCAAAACGTGCACGGACAGGGTCTCGTGTGAGCATAGGTCCATAACTATGTGCATGTAAAAAGTGAAAAATGCACGCTATACTAACACCTAGGCTCAGCAGCAAATCATTTTTTTGAGTGAATGCGAGCATCTGGCGCGATAAAACCAGACATATAATATGCTAAAAGACCTTAGAATAGATCCGGTCAAAGAATACATAAGGGACAGAGCTGTGAAGCTATATGCAAAAGCCGACAGGCTGCCCTACTTAACACTATCTAATCTCAGAGTAATCACTAACCGCACGGGGCGGTACGCAGATCTTAGATCAATCATTGAATAATCACGAAGATTATCAGGAATACCAGCTATCATAGTGTAAAAGTGCCCAGATGCACTAACTCGGAAAAGGCTTAACATAATAATGATTTGGCCTAGGTCAACTAACACAGTAAAAAACAATCAAGTTATGACATTCTCGGGAGGAATGTCATAAAACAAGCTTAGGTTTTGATGGTGATGATGATGATGTTATACAGATTTAACAATCGAAAATGAAAATTGCACTAAAAATGAATCTGAATTGAAAAGGTTACCACAGACTTTACTAATTGAAAACGCCATAAAATGTTAATGTAAACACTAAAAGATAGAAACTATAATGTATGTATTTTTATTATCTATACACATATTTCACATTATTAATTAAACTTAATTAGATTTATAATGGATATGTGGTGAGAATCAACAAAGTAGGCTAAAATTGTCAGATTCTCTGATATTTAAAAATATTTTATTTAAAATATTTATTCAGATTTTTTCAGTCAGTTGATCAGTCAGTCAATTAGTTAGTGTTTCTAAAGTTGTATTAAAAATAATAAAAGTTTGTGTTACAATAAATACTGTTTTTTATTAATAAAAGCTATTTGGTTATTGTAATCACAACATTGGTGACCCCGACACAAAAAGGAGTTGTAAGTTATTATCAAGCCCAACATTAGCAAGCAAGATGACTAACCGTGAGGAAGAAGATTTTTTCCGGCAGAAGGAGAAAGTCGCACTGACAAGGAGGTATACCGGGTTTCAGTTAAGCCGATGATGTTTTCAAGAGAGCATCCGGACCTTTTTTTTCTGCAAATGGAAGCACAGTTCAGGAATGCGGGAATAACGAAAGATGATACAATGTTCGACCATGTAGTAGCAAGTTTAGAGCCGAAATACCTGGAGTGCATAGTTGATGTGATTCGAGATCCACCGAAGGTGTTGAAATATGAGACGTTGAAGAAACGGTTAATTTATGAATTCACAGAATCGGAGCACAAAAGGCTGCGTAAGTTGCTGACAGAATTGGAGCTAGGTGACATGAAACCAACTCAATTGCTGAAGAAAATGAAGGAGATGACCGGCAATTCAATGAATGATGATGTACTAAAGTCATTGTGGTTACAGCGACTGCCAGTGGGAGTTAGAACAATCGTAGCTGCAGTGGAAGGTGATTCTGCACAGTGGGCCAAAGTGGCTGATAAGGTATTTGAGGTACAGGAAACAGAAACGGTTTGTGTAGTTCAAAGGAATGAACCGAAGGAGATGAGGAAGGAAATTGACGAGTTGAAAGTCATGATAAATAATTTGGTCATTCAGTTGAGCAAAAGAGGAAGAAGCAATGACAGAGATCGTGGAAAAGGGCGATCATCAAGTGCTAGAA